AATAGTAATGCACTCGATGCACCCATGCCCAGTGTGCAAAACGCATGCAGAAAAGAGCTTCTACAGCTTTGCTTTGGCAGCACAATCCTCAGTGCGACTGTTAGCATGACCTGCGCTATGCATGTCCATCTGGTCTGAAACATGCCAAGTAGAAAGAGGGAGGGGGGAGAGGATAGATGTGAGATGTAAAGAAGCATCAATGAATCAGCCATCCTAATCACCCAACTGAAAGATGCCATATTTTCCTATGCAGTTATAATTTAAAAACAAACAAATGAAAAAAAAACAGTATTGGTAGAGAAAAGATGAATCAAGTTTGCTGCATTTTTTTTTTCTTCCAGCTATTGTTTAAATAGAGAACTTAAAGGTCTTCCCAGTATCAGATTATTGCTGGATTAGCATAATCATATCCAATTGCATTCATCCCTGATAAAGTGAGATAATGTATCCACATCTCTATATTTCTTTTTCTGGAGTACTGTAATGCAGCCCTATGTCTTAATCAATAGATCACAAAGATGCACCACAGTTCCAAAGTTACTGAGGAGTAACAGGTGATGTTTTCCATCTACAGTTTATGTATTCAAGAGAGAACTAAATGACGCACACAACAGGCAGACTGACTAGCTGCTGCATACACACAGATTGATGATAGAACTGACTCATGGGTCTCTGCAGCACAGCCTTAAAGAGCACTTGCCAAGCAGACAAATCCCTAAATGAAAAATAATCACTCATGCAAAGAGCATTTCGTAAGTGCATGTGTGGCTGGATATATAAAGAGACATTGAATTAGGGAAATATAATTGTTGCTAAAAATAAAGAAATGTATCTGTGCTTCTGCAAAGCTATGTTACAGTGGTAAAGTTCCACATCTGCAAGAAAACTCCCTTCCTGTCCTTTTGCAACCAGCTGACAGGGTTGGTTTGTTGCTCTTTCAGTTAGTAACAGCCATGCACAGAAACACATAGCAGTCTTGGTGCTGTTGAAAATAATTTTTTGTTTGTTTTTTTAATAACAAAAAGAAGTGTATACATTAATCTTTATCAAAAAAGGAGAAACGAGTTCTATTCCCTGAGATCTCTGATCTCATGACATGTGCAGTTTCTCTCTTGGCTGTCAGGCTTAATACTATAATGCAGAGCATTGCTACAAAACCAGTTATTCATTCCCCTAGGCAGGTATCTGAAGCCCTGAAAATGGCTGAGTTAAGTAAAAGGACTGGGCAGCATCCCAGTATTCATACCTAGCTTCCCAAGAGCGCTTGGTTTCCTGCTGTTTCCTACTTGTAAATGCTTAGGAAGGAAATGGAAAATATATCTTTTGATGTACCCAGTGGACTCTTCAGGATACCCAGTGAAGAATGCAGGAAGAATCGAACCATGGTGAGTTAGGAACTACAATGGTTTTGAGGCACACACCAGCTTAATATAGGCAGTGTTCAATCAAGATACTAAACATGTCCACTCTTGAGAACTTAAGCTGCAACTGCCTGAGAAGTGCTGCCAAGATGAGAAACCTTAAAGGAAGATCCTGGATGGAACTGCTGCAGGTTAACGAGCAGAGATGAACAGCTGGAAAAGGGCTCCTTCACCTCACATTAAGTTATCTTGGATTAACCTAAATACACGTAGGGTATGCTCTCCTTTCTACATTTATATCCAGTGGTAAATACCTGGGAAATAATCTGAGATCTGAGTACACAGTCAAGAAAGGGAAGGATGAAGACTGCTCTTAAAATGCTCTCCGAGATTCTGAAAAGGACAAATGACACCACCTTTTTCTAGCCCCCAAAGGTCTTTTGTACTTCTGCGAGCCTTCCCCAGGGAGGATATGACTGTCCCTAGAGAACTGACAGAGAGAATTTGCAGCAGGAGCATATGATAGCAGCTTCCACAGCCAGGAGAGGTTATGTCAGGGGTGATGGCCAGGACCTGGGCAGAGGAAGGAAGCATTGACAACATAGCGGGTCTCCAAGAGTCTAGAAGACATAGAATCACAGAAAGGTTTGGGCTGGAAAGGACCTTAAAGATTATCTTGTTCCAATACTCACTGATCTTCACGATTCACCCAGGACAGGCAGTCAGGGAAGTCAAATACTACCTGCCTGTTGCTAATGCTCTGAGTGCCCCAGACTTGGAAGTTACTCCAGCAGGGTTATGCATGCAGAAAGGCACAGTGATCTGACTATACTGCCTACCATGTTCAACACATCTTATGTTGAATGAGCTGTAAAACAGAAAACTTTCATGAAGGAATAGATCTGTCAAAATTGACACCTGAAAATAGCACAGACTAAAGCACATGAAACGCTGTTTTCCACTGAGACAGTGTGACAGTGGGCAAGCTCTACCTGTAGGGCAGGTTTTGGCAGTAAGCCATTAACTGTTCTAATATTTGTAATGATGATCTGCAGTCTGATATTTCTACTGAGAGAAAACAGAAGGGGATCTTGTGGAGTGGTGAAGTAAAAACAATATATTATGATGAGAGAGCAAAAAATATAATGGAAACGCACGGCAAATAAAAATTAAATTACACAGTAATAAAGGAAATTGAATTAATCGTTTATAACCAGTTATAATTTATTTTTAGTGATTCAAAAGACAATGATATTTAATAGAACTTACAGTTCCATATATATCAATGTCCAAGTCCTTTTCACACCCTTTCCTATATTTATAATTAAGAAGGAAGTCTTCCGATGACGCGCCTCAGGAAGAATGAGAAATTACTTAGGTAAGTTAAATAGCAGTTTCAAGTCCTCCTGGAAAATAAATTATGATCAGAGGTCACATTCATCAGTAGGACTAAATAGAATGAGAGAAACTCTTTGGACGTACAATTTGCTTATAAATAAGCAATTTATATATTTGTCCAGTCTCCCCAATGTATGGCACAAATAAATATCTTCAAATGGTGAGCTTCCTATGAACTGCCAAGAATTTGCTTTCAAAGGGCTGTTTTTGTTACTTGGTGAGCAGAGATCCCACAGTAAAAATACAGCAGTACAAAATGGTGGCTTCAGTTATGTTAGTGAAATAGGAGAGCCTTCAGGCATTGGATAGCATTTTCAAATATAATCCAAAAATTGGTACTCATCTGACACCTGACCCTGGCCAGTGAAGTCAGCAGAATAGCTGGCTGAATGCTGTATGCAAGCAAAAAGCATAACTCCTCCTGCTCTAAGCACAACTACATTTACCTAGGAACATCCCCCAACAGCTCACATCTCCTCGTTAATAAGATCTGAATGTAAAGCATGCACATAACGATCAGGGCTGTGTACAAAGTGTAGGCAGGGAGAAGCCAAAAATGCAATTTAACTGAAACATTCTAAAGCAATTTAATGCTAAACAGTAGCATCTAAATTTCACAGTTTTTACTTCTGTGAATGAGTTTTAATGAGTCATTATAAACAAATACATTTGACTGTTTCAATCTCTGAACATCTTAAAAATGCTTGCAGTGCAAACTCTCACAGTCTGTTTCCATTGTACTTATTGGATCCTGAATCTTATCTGGATAGAGAATTTTCTTGTCTCCTCTTAATATATTTTGTACTTGCAAATTTGTTTGTCAGTTCTGTAAACCTCCAAGGCCTCTCTTTTTCTGGAGGAGAGCAAGCCTCTGAGGAAAGAGTTTTTCAACCTATAAGTATTTTAATTCTCTAAGTTAGTCTCCTCTTGGAAAACCTGACGAAAATGAAGTGATGATAAAGAGAAGATATGGGAAATGAACTCTCAACATCACTTCATTTTCTAACCTCCAAGATCTGCCTTCTTCCTGCAGTCACAAATTATATTTTGATACTATTTACCATTCTATATGGCATCCATATTATAAATTATGGATGACTTTCACATATTATGCTAATATTCAGTTCTGTATTTTTCTGGATTTATCCACCTGAGTTACTGTTTTTCATCTTTCAGCTTCTTGCCTCTGATTGCAAATAAATAAATAAAAAGTAAAAAGTAAGAAATGGGTGTTCTTTGGGTGGATGCTGGAAATAGTTCTTTATCTTGGCCCACGCAACTGAATTTGTGGCCCTCCTGGGCAAAATGGGAATAGAAAGGTCCAGAGGAAAAAAAAAAAAAAAAGACCTGAATAGTCTTTAAGCTGTCATCGTTCACCCAGTCCAGCCCAGATTTGATAATACCATTTTGCAAGATAAGTGCTAAGAGGGGAGGTTCATGCAGTAGGGCACCAGCATCTGGGAACAGTGCCCAGTACCTCTCCCAGGTCACTATGCTACTTGGGAGACTAAGCCAGTAGCATTAGAAAACAGAACAACACCAAGGAGTTGCTATTATTGATCAAATGAACCCTGTATCTAAAATCTGCAATAGCTTTGAACTTGTATAATTTTGAACAGGGGCATCTGGATGAGTAAAGCTTGCATAAACACTGAGGAAGTCAGTTCTACTGGTGTCAGAGAGGCTGTGCAGCGTGCCTGGGTTTGCCCTTCTCAGAGCAACCCCTGGAGCCTCTGACGTGCCTAGATGTAATCTAGCTTGTTTTGGTGACGCATGCTCACAGGTCACATCTTGTGCGTAACGTGAGGTGACAGACGTAAGGAAGTAGGGCACATCAGTTATCTTGAATCAGCAGATTTCATCTTTTAAAGTTTACAGTGAAAGTTTCCTTCAGAAATACCTCCTTTTCCCTATCACTATTTTCATTTGTTAATGAAAAAAAAGTGATGTGCCAGGGTCAGCAACGTACTTGGCACATGCCTTTCCACCTCCAGGAAAGAGGTGACGCAATGACACAGATGGCCCCACAGCACGGAAAGCTGCAGATCACAGCCTGGCTCTGGCATTTGTCTCTGTGGCCATGTCCCTCTGTTTGCACTCTCCAGCCCTCCCAACTCACAGCCCTGACCCCTCAGTTTCTTTTCCCCAACCCACCCATGTTTTGCCCTTACCTCCTGTGGCCCTGGAGGAAGCCTGTCCTGTCACATCCCAGCCTCCTGCAATGCTCTCCGCTGGCTCCATGCTTTCCCCTGTCCCAAGGATATCTTACCTGGCACCAAGCAGAGAGTCTGTGCTGACCAGCTGAGGGAATGCACCCCCAGTGAGGGGGGGAACACTGCCACACACTGAGCTGTGTCATGGGACGCCTGCTGAGGGAACACAATGTGCCCCTAAAACCAGCCCTTGCCTGCTCTGTGCCAACTGCTCCTTTCCAGGTGGCTGCTGACCCCACTGTATCTAGTGGGAAGAATACCCTCAACATCCCACCCTCTCAGCACATCCCACTCACTAGGCATACCTCATCCTTGCTCCTCCCTCTGTGTGGAGCTGCAGGTCAAGCCTGGCTATGGCTGCCTCCTCTCATGCCTCTGCCATGCCTCAGTCCTAGGTCTGCAGCTCCTCAGATCCAGCCCTGCCACAGGGGGAAAGTTTTTACTTCACTTTCCCCACAAAAGGAGGTTTAAAACACCCAGAAAAATCTCAATCCCCTTCTCCACATCCCCCTGCCCCCAATCTCCTAAGAAACCCTATTGCAGGAATAAACACCTTTTGAAGTTTTAAAATTGCTGGCTTAGGATAAATGCGATACTTTCTGTTCCTTTCTCTTAGAAAGAACAGAGAGAGGAAATTGCTGGGAAAACCCTGTAAGAACCTAATGACTTTGGTGGAAGGTGCAGGGAAAATTACTGCCAGGTAATGCAAGAGGATCAGAAACCACTAGATGTCATCATCGATGCATAAAAAGCAATGGACTGTTAAAATTTGAGCTGAAAATGCCTTATGGCTTTCAGCAAAGTTACTACCTATACATGACAGCATTTTTAAAAACAGTTGGCTTACCAAAGACATTTCTATATCCAAAAATCCCAAGCATACGTGGGATGGTGGAGAGATTTTAACTTCTCTGCAACCCTACCCAAGTTCTGGGAGTGAGGACAAAATGTTTTTGAGTAATTCTGGACAGTTTCAGCTACATGCATTCTGCCAAGACTGCAACTGTCACTCAAACTTCAGCTTGAGTTGGCCACCAGGTGAAATAGAAATCTGCCTTGTTGGCAGGGCCCTCTGCTGCTTTTGAGATACTGCTCTGCAATGCCTCCTAACCCTCTGTCTTGCAAACGCCATTAAACTCTTCTACTTTCTTTAAATGAGAGTAAGCTCATGTTCCCCAAGGATGCTGAGGCAGAGGACACTTGTAGAAGCAGGTTTTCAAGGAGAGGCCAAAACTAAATGGACTATGTGTGTGTGAAGAGGTGTCTGTTCCTCAAGCAGCACAGTGAAAAAATTGTATCAGGGATGACATAGAGAGGTGGATACTGCTGTGCAGAAGAGGCAGATGGAAGAGTGGAAGTAGACAAAGAAGTATGTGCTAGTAGCCCCTCTGATGTCTTGACGGTGGAAGCAAGGATAAGGTGGCACTTTGTGTACTTCATGATAATGAAATGAAGAAGTAAAAGATAAGACTGACATCAAAAACCCTCTGTAAGATAAGAATTTACCATGTGGGAAAGAAACCTGAAAGAATTTTACATATACACACACACACCTCCATTTATACCAGTAAATCACATTAGTGGGACTAAACTGATTTTAAAGAGAAAAATGCCTTTTTTTTTTTTCTCCCCTAAAGTTACCTGAATCATGAAAATCCCTAACTGTTCTGCTTCTTGTTCTTCCCTGAAGAACCTTGTCTGCACATTAATTTGCTGAAAGCCAGAAATCTAGTAAAAATATAAGTTTTCCTCACTAACAGCTGGGAAACCAACATTAGTTTCAGCAGCTTGCTGAGTAATGGAATTAGGGGACTTAAGGTTGACAGATATGTCACACAACTGAGTTGAAGGGCAGCACTATCACTTTTATTTAACTCCCTGATTCAAGTACCCTTCAGACACAGCTCAGAAGGCACCACTTGGTGTATCTCCTTAATCTGGAAGGATATTTCTATGAAAAGATGATCACAGAAACATTGCTTTAAACTAAACTATGAGCTAGCACTGTAATACTTGCACAACTAACAAGTTCCAGGAATAGGAAAACTTCACTAAGAGAAATAAATTTACTCACCAGCATCAGCCATTAACCCAGGAAGGAGCCAGAATCAAGTGAAATGCGATTAAGGTCAATGCCAACATTTTTACCCAAATACTTTTTGGAACAAATTGGACAACTTGAATCATCATGAGTCATCATTTTTATATATATATTATATATATATAATATATATATATATAATATATATATATATATTTCCTGGGGGTTCCTTTGCAGTTCTGACATCATCATCAATCTGGGCAGAAGTTAGTGGTCAGCTACACAGTTATGGTCTACTTCCATCCCTTTTCAGAATGGAAACTGCAACTCTAAAGTGAGGCTCTTCTCTAAGGCAACTGAATTGAGTGAAACAACGGTGATAGTCACCTTACCAGCTAGCATTAAACTTCCTACTGCTGCTGACCTATCACGCTCAATAAAGCTCATGATAAAGAAATACTGAATTTGCTACTCAGTAGGTATCGGGCTGACCGATAACCTGGTTAAAGTTTGTCCACAGTCATCCAGGGGCTGTCAACACACAGAGGATGAGAATGCCCACTGTCTGAAGACTGAACTGTCTACATCACTGACTGAAGAGCCATTTCTGAATAAAACAGACTCAAGTTCTGCAGAGTAGATTATTGCAACTATCCAAAAGCAATGAAATCAATTGTTCTGAAAGTAACAGAAGGCTGATATTTGAACTTGTAATGTCCATTTTGGACAACTACAAGCAGAGGCTCTTTTAAACATGTGGTCTAGAAAGTCAACAAGTATTTTTGGATTCATTATCGTACTGCTTGTATGTGGTGTAATCCTTTCATTCAAAGGTTCTAAAGACTTTGCAATAAACTCAGCAATACATCTCAGCTGTTTGATACACAAAGATACCTAACAAGCCTGGTGAGACCTCCAGGAGAAAGGATTGTGAAAGGAATCCAGAAATACTTTCAACTCACAGAGATACAAATTTGCTTTGTTTCTTTATTAATATATGACCTATTATTCAAAAAGGCAAGAGAACATAGGATTAGAGCCCTGAAGAAGCCCTGAAACTGCATTTTCTCCTCCTTTCTGAGGTTTCTCACTGCCCTTGGTGATGTCTCTGGCTCACAGATGGACAGCTGAAGATTGACTTGAAGCATCAGCCACAAGCACAATTGAAATAAGAGCAGAAAACGTGCAGAACAAAGGCCTGGTCTTGGCTCACACAGGACAGCTTCATGTCTTCAGAGTCTTTAAGGAAGTTCGTAGTTTTCAAGAACCATTCATTCTGGGTGCTTCAGGCTTTGGCACCCAAGATACCCTGACTCCATATCCCACTCCAGAAATCACACATAAATTGTGCTTCCAGTAAAATGTGATATTCTAGTTGGCAGACCTTGAGAAATAAGGAGGAAGAAACTGATCTTTGTAATGGAATGAACTGGTTTAAATGCAAAGGAACACTGAAATACAATGACTTTCCTTACTTTTATTCTTCTGGTTTTATAGTTCATGGACAGACTTACAAATTAGAAATTCTGATACTGAAAATTGGCTGATGAAAACACCTTTTTTTTTGGAGCGGATTTTGAGTTTGATTGCTCGATACAGCAGATTATTCATTTACAACCAACATCTAAGAACTTCCTTTTGTATTTGCAATTAGTGTTGTTGATTAAATGCATACTGGGGAAATGTGCTCTTTGTGGCATGAACATGTTTATAGCTTTTAAGAAATCCACCACTTTGCCAATGGACACTGGAACTGATGGGCAAAGGAGGGCAGGGCTGGCAAATTTAATTCCAGTCATGTGATTGACGTTGGCATGGTATGGCTCATTAAAATCCATAATGTTTATTTCCAATATACAGCTGGCAGGGATCCCAAGACCCCACTCTGTCAGCAAGTATAGTTTTCTGCTGGGTTAGACCTGTGGGCCATTAGCAGACTAAAACAAGTATTTTTCCTTGCAAATGAAAAGAAGGTAAGCAGTATCTTTAAACAGGGAGAAGATATTAAAAGATGTTGAACCTTGCATCTATATAGACCACATTTTGCTGCTACCCCTTTCCCTCAGTATTGAACTAAAAAGGCGTTGGCTAGAACCAAACTCCTGACTTAGAACGCAGACTTCAAGGTAATGCAAACTGGGATGTCTTCACAGCATGGCATTTGCAGTACAAGCATCCAAAAAGCAGAAATGCTACTCCTCCTTACCTGCTGGCCAGCCTACCTCTCTTGTGCTTTTACTTCTCCGAAATAAAGTCAAGGACAGCAGTCAGTGATGGAAATCACTTTACCGACCCATCTGCGTCTGAATTTCGTGCAGGTCTTAACTGTATGTTACTTTCTCCCGTCACTTCTATTATTCCTGCCTAAAGTACAGTTCTCCCCCTTCTGCAGAAGAAATCAATTTTTAAATCCTCTGAGCTCATCTTCTAGTGATAGTACACACCAGAGCAGTACAAGCTGCATGCTACTCAGAGTACTGTGCTCCGCAGGGACTCATTTTTCCCATAAAGACAGCTTCAGACACAAAATGCCTGAGGTTATTTAGCCAGGCACTGAGAGACTAGTCTGGAGCACTAACTATCTCCATGGTGAATGCTACAAGGCAGCAAGAGGCAGAAAGCAATCAAGTTGATATTTATGTAAGAAACTGCATGAAGTTTCATGAAGGTTGCATACAACCCACATATTCTTTTTAGAACATCATGAGTACAGACACGTATGACTCAACTGCATAGAGCTCCATGCTGCTGTGACTGCAAACTGCTCAGTTTGAAGCTGGCTCATGATTAGATGCACATGTGGCAGTCACATTTTTGATTGCCATTTAAATCTAACTGAACAGTCCACACAGCATCTAACATAACATCTGCCAAGTGCTTGAATTAGAAAAGTAATAGTTTATAAAGAAATAAAATGAAGTCCCCACCTCCAAACACACAAAACACTACCAACAAGAATTTGCTTTCACTGAAAGATGATGAACAGTTATAAAGGGACTCCTGAAATTTACTATCTCAGCCTCAGTTTATTCAGCCCATTTCCAGTTTGGCTTCTTATGGCAAGATTTTCACTCCTGCCACTATTTGTGGAAGGAGCGTGCTGCCTCCATTATCTAGCCTCCTGAATAAACACCTCTTGCTCTTCTTGGAGTTTGTCCTACTGTGGAGAATCCACCCGGCCAGTGCACCTGGCTTGGCCTCCCAAGGGGAAAAAAAAACAAACTATGTTTTAAATGGAAAAAAAAATATCAGGCATTAATCTAATATAGAAAAACACAGCAAAGCACTTTAACCCTTCAGTGAAAGCAAGGAACTTGGTGCAAAGCCAAATCCTAACCGAAAATCTCTGGCTTCAATGAGAGCATGGCTAAGCTTCTT